GTATCTTCCTAATCTTGGGCAGGTACATAGACTTGATTTATGCAAGAAACATATTACATGTGGTAGCATAACATTCTGAAGTCTATGCTCCAAATGGGAGGTAAAGGTGGGTGTGAAATGTGAAAAGGAAATGAAAGGATGCAGTACACCTATAATTTATTTGTAAAAGGCATATTAGCATTCTAGCAGATTTTTTTAGCTGTATACATTTTGATTAACCTAGCTATCTGCAAAAGCATTGTAAAGCTGGTTTTAAAACATCAGTTACTAAAGCACTGCTTTGTCCCTTTCTCCTTTATTCAGTGATATTGCAACACATGCTAATGGAGGAACATATTAGAAATTAATGACCCTTATAGTCAAAGTGAATAGATTGAACTCATCCTATTTGCCATCAAATCTATTCTTTCTTTAGTACATCCTACATCTTTTAATGGTAATACCGGTTAACTGTCACCCAGTGTTCTAAACTATGGCATTTTTGACTTTCTTACTTCTTTTCTCTTTATTATAATATAGCAGTTGGAATCAAACAAATCTGGGTTCAAAATTTAGGTTTGCCACTTACTAGCTATAACCTTGACATGTTATTTATCCTCTCCCTTTAATTTCCTCATCTACAAAATATGGAATAGTAACAGTACCCATTTCATGGAATTAGAGCAAATGATAAAATGAATGCATCTAGCCATAAATGCTTAGCAAATGTTACTAATTATTACTATACTACCACTGATTCTACCTCTAAACTTTCTTTCACAGCTACACATTTCTCTTTATTCATACTGCTCCAGGTACTAATTTAGGACTGGTCTTCCTCTCTCCCTGAATTCTTGTAGATCTAATCTAATCAAAATTTGGCCTTTATCTTACCTTTCTCTCTTCAAAAACATTCAATGACTTCAAATTTCTCAGAAAATAAAGCCGAGTAGTCTTAATCTGGCTTGTTTTAGGTCCTTCAAGTTTTAGGTCAATGCTCTTTGGTCTCAATCTGCCCCTATCCTGTAGTGTTGACTTGGGTCAGTCAGTAGACCTGGCAGTGATGCTGCCACTCCCATGGTTTGTTATAAGGATTATTTAATTTAATTCCTAGAAGACCTGGCTTTGAGAGCTCCATTAACTGGCAGAGTGGCCTTTGGGAAATCAGTTTACTTTCCTGGGCTTTATTCTATTTGTCTGTAAATTGACATGGACTAAAACTCCAATGTGTGTTAGAATCACCTAGAGAACTTGTGAAACTTGTTCTCTAATTTCTCTAGAGACATTAGAGCTTCTCTCAGAGTTCCTGACAATATTTTATTATGTTAAAAAAAGAAACATGACATCTAATCACTGCATAAAGTACACTAATATTAGGCATACATCTTGATTTGTTAAATATATATGCTCTGTTGGACAGCATCCAGGTCAAGATACAGATGGTCCCTGACTTAGGATGGTTGAACTTAGTATTGTTTGACAATGGTGTGAAAGAGATACACATATCATAATAATTCTTCATTGAATTCTTTATTGAATAATTTATTCAATAAATTACATGAGATATTCAATACTTTATTATAAAATAGGCTTAATGTTAGATGATTTTGTTCAACTGCAGCCTAATATAAGTGTCCTAAGCACATTTAAGGTAGGCTAGGCTAAGCTATGTTTGGTAGGTTAGGTGTATTAAATGTATTTTACAATATTTTCAACTTATGATAGGTTTATAGGGACATATCCCCATCATAAGTTGAGGAGTATCTGTATAAAAATTTCCAGCACCCTAGAACTTCTTCCAGAGACAACTATTTTTACTTCTATTATAATTACTTTTTAACTATCTGGATTAGATGATTTTTGGTGTTTTAGCTCTGGTTTTCTTTGGTTCTAAATTTCTAATTCAGATGGGGAAGGACTTTGTTATCCCAAATTTAGATATTATCTATAAACATATTTCCTGCCCACTCACACCCCAACCCTACCCTTCACCACCATGGGTAACCCTCTTCTTTGCCTCTTCATCTCCCCAACCCTTCATATTCTTTCTCATTCTGTCATTGAGGTCAATCAAGATCATACCACTTGCTACAGGACAGCCAATAAGCTGAGAGGCAAGGTGTTGGGGCAAGGAGAGTGACGACTTTTATTCAGAGAGCCAGCAAACCTGAGAAGGTGGTAGACTAATGTCCCAAAGAACCATTTTAAGTTGGTATGAACTTTAGGTTCCTTTTTGTCTTAAGGGAAGGGAAATGGGGGTGGGCTTGCAAAAGATATTAATAGCTGAGGACCACAAACATCTGGGCACCAGCGAGGGTTTGAGGAGGTTATATAAAACTTCCCTGTTCTTGGTCAGTTAACTTTGGTAGATGAAGGTCAGGTCAAGATGTTCCTACAAATTTTTGATGGAGCATTGTTATTTAAGTGTATATTTTTCTTATCTCCCTGGGAGTTAGATTTGGGAAAGGGACAGTTATCATCTTTCTTCTAGCCCAGTTATCATCTTTTTTTCTAGCCTACGTGCAGAGCTAAGCAGAACCTTTGAACCTAAAGGATACTACCACAGGAGGTCAGAAGCAAAATGGAGCAAGTTATGCTAAGCCTTCCTTCCACTTTTACAATTCTTCAGCTCTCTAGTAACTTCCTCTCAAGCTAGACTAGAAATATAGAATACTAAAGTTAGAGGTCAGGTATTCTAACCTCCCTTACTTGCAGCAATTCTTTCTACAATGTCCCTAGCAAATAGTTTTTTTACCTCTGCTTCAAAACTTCTGGTGACTGATACCTGATTTGATCACATTATTGGACATTTCTCTTTGCTAGAAAGTGCTCTCATAGGTTGAGCTTTATAAAATATTTTTGGGCCAGTTGCTCATAGTTATGTCCTCTAGAACAATAAAGAATATCTGGTCTATTTTCTTTATGGCAGCCTTTCAAATTTCTAAGACAGTTGTCACATATGCGCTAAGATTTTTCTTCTCTAGCTGTTGGAATCAGAACTCTCAGCAATTTACTGGCTCTTGGTATACCTTTTGAAGACCCAACTCTGAAAAATACTATGCAATTGAGAGTCACAGTAGCCTACAAAGGGAGAAATTATACTTTATGCTGTAACACACTGTTGGGCCAATATTGTATAAGTTCTACCCCACTGGGATATGCAGAACAGTACATATCTCTCGTCTCTCTGCAAAATCAGCTTTGTGGACATGCAACCTGTGTGGTCTCACTGTACTCATGTCAAGATAGTCCCCATGCTTGGTTTGTTGTTCTACAGTTGCCATCTTAAAATTATTAATATCTTTTGAACAGAGCCCCCCCAATTTCATTTTGCACTGGGGGCCCACAAAATTAGAAAGCTAGGTTTGTCTTTCTGGTTGTATTACATTTGCTGATGTCCTAAATATTTTTATTTTTGTTATTTAATAATATATCTTCTAACATAGCTATTAAGAATGTATTATATTTGAAGAATGGCCAACAGACATATGAAAAAATGCTCAACATCTCTAATCATCAGGGAAATGCAAATCAAAACCACAATGAGGTATCACTTAACTCCAGTGAGAATGGCCTTTATCAAAAAGTCTCCAAACAACAGATGCTGGTGTAAATGCAGAGAGAGAGGAACACTCCTACACTGCTGGTGGGACTGCAACTAGTTCAACCTCTGTGGAAAGCAACATGGAGATACTTTAAAGTGATATAAGTGAATCTACCATTTGATCCAGCAATCCCATTACTGGGCATCTACCCAAAAGATCCAATGACACTCTACAAAAAAGACACCTACACTTGAATGTTTATAGCAGCACAATTCATAATTGCAAGGCTGTGGAAACAGCCCAAGTGCCCATCAATCCAAGAATGGATTAATAAAATGTGGTATATGTATACCATGGAGTACTATTCAGCTCTAAGAAACAATAGTGATATATATAGCACATCTTATATTTTCCTGGTTAGAGCTGGAACCCATACTACTAAGTGAAGTATCCCAAGAATGGAAAAACAAGCACCACATATACTCACCAACAAACTGGTATTAACTGAGCAGCACCTAAGTGGACACATAGGTACTACGGTAATAGGGTATTGGGCAGGTGGGAGGGGGTGGGTATATACATACATAATGAGTGAGATGTGCACCATCTGGGGGATGGTCATGCTGGAAACTCAGACTTGTGGGGGGAGAGGGGGAAAGGGCATTTACTGAAACCTTAAAATCTGTACCCCCATAATATGCGGAAATAAAAAAAAAGAATGTGTTATATTTTATTGTCCTTTTTACTTACTTCAGAAAGTTTTCCTTAGAGCAATGAACATAGGTTTGATATTACAATCATACTCATGTTATAGATGAACAACCTTGGGCTTAAAGAAATTAAATGAATTGGCAAAGCTTCATGGCTTATTAATAGTAACAAATTTGGGCTAGAACAGGCCTTCTTACTTCAGCATTAATTAAAAAAGACCCTCCCCTTCCTTTCTCTGGAAAGTGCTGTGTTTTAAATTCCTAGGACTCAAGTTGAGTACTTGAATCTTATTAGATTTCCAGGTTCCTCTATTTCATTCTCTGTTAGTTCATTGTCTAAGCACCATGCTTTGACTTGCCACCCCTGTATTGCCAACTCATATTTAGCATAGAGTTTCCTCTGTTTGCTCCTCATGTCATTTACTCATAATTGCCTAGTCCTCTCTTATCTGATAATTGAAGCTTATTTTTCTACCCTAAGTGATTTACCCTGAGCTTGCATTTTTTAAAAAGTAATCTCAGGTTAATTTTGAAGGAATTCCAATGCAATCTCATTTTTTCCTCCCTCGATTATGATTCAGATCTATAGCTAATCTCCAGATCATTAAGGATGTTCCAGTAATTGGAAAGAAATCTCCATGTTTTTTTCATTAAGTGCTCATCTAGCTTGCAAAGGGACGTTAAACTAACTTGAGATGCTGAGACTTGCCTTATTTGACAAAAAAAGGAATCCAAAGCAATTCTATGAAAATGTGGTTTCATTTGCAATTATATTAGGGGAAGGGAAATGGAGAGTATAATGTAACAAGGTTATAATGACCATCTTAATACGGCAAGGTTGATGGTAAATACGAAGCTTCAACATTGGCGTTATCTCTGCAACTCCACAGACAAGTTTTTAGCATTGTGTGTGTCTGGCCCGAGTGAAACTGTGCATGTGATATCTTTGTCTCCTGGTGGAGACTCTGGCCCAGGCTCTGCTTTCTGGAGAACTCAGACTTTAGCATCTTCACCACCTAAGGCAGTCTATCAATGTCATTTCCTAATTCCTAGAGTATAAAATTAAAAGATTTGATCATGATGGTTTAATTGCCTTTACATCTATAACATTGCCAGTTGAGGAATAGTATCACTTTAAGCAGATACCACTGACTCAGGAATAAATTGAACCAGTAATTTCCATCTCAGTTAATGACACCACCATCTTCCCCATTTGTGAATTTAAAAACCTAGGGTTTTTTTGTTTCTAAATTTCCCCTAGGATTCCTTCCTTCTTCTTCTTTTTTTTTTATCTTCATATCTAATCAAACAACAAGCCCTGTGGCTTCCATCTCCAAATGTACCCCAAGTGAACCCTGCTCTTCATTTCCATAGCTACACGTACACAGTGCACACTATTCCACACACTACACCTGCACAGTACATCTACACCCTCCAGGTCAGAGTAGCTGACCATGATTTTTATCTGGTCTCTGCAATAAACTCTTTTTTTTTTTTTTTTGAGACAGAGTCTCACTTTGTTGCCCAGGCTAGAGTGAGTGCCGTGGTGTCAGCCTAGCTCACAGCAACCCTGAAACTCCTGGGCTCAAGCAATCCTTCTGCCTCAGCCTCCCGAGTAGCTGGGACTACAGGCACGCGCCACCATGCCCGGCTAATTTTTTCTATATATATTAGTTGGCCAACTAATTTATTTCTATTTATAGTAGAGACGGGGTCTCGCTCTTGCTCAGGCTGGTTTCAAACTCTTGACCTCAAGCAATCCGCCCGCCTCAGCCTCCCAGAGTGCTAGGATTACAGGTGAGAGCTGCTGCACCCGGCCTGCAATAAACTCTCAACTGGTCTCTGTTGGTCCCTTTATAATCTACTCTCTACAAATCAGTGAGATTGGACTTTTAATAATGCAAATCAGATTATGCCATTCCTCTGATTACAACCCCAACTTCATTCTTTGAGTGTGTTTTCTTTTATAGATAGTACTTAATGCAATTTGTATACTTTTTACCTCATTTATATTGTTCTCCTCTGCCTCCCTCCACCTCAGGAATATAAAAGAAGGGTCCTCCTGTCTTGATTATCATTTATCTCCCCAAGTTTACATGAGTATTGGGTACCCAGTAGGTGCTAAAAGATTATTTGCTGAATAAATGAATGAACCTACAAGCTCTGGCTGATATCCAGCCCACATCTCATTATTTCAGTATTAACTCCAACCCTTGGCAAACTGCTGGCTTCCCTAAGTCGGGCTCTCAGGATTTAACCTCTACTTATCCCTTTAGTTTAGCTATAGCCAGAGCCCTAGTTTTGAGTGTGGTCTGTCTTCCACTATCTTTACCCCATGTCTCTTCTCTCTATATCATCAGCTCTACGACTCCAGGAACAATTCCTCCTTTCGGATTTCAGCCTGTGACTAGTTATGCCTTTCTATCTGTCCTTTTCCTATATTCAAGGTTACTTTGCAAGCTTGACTAGGCTGCCATTCCCAGCTTCCACTGCTCCAGCTCCCTCCCTGGGCCAACTAATACTTGCAAATCATCACAAACCCTTTAAATCCTGTAGGGTTCAGTGGATTCCAAGTAGAAAGTACTTGGAGTGACTAAGCCAAATGAGTGCTTCCTTCGGAGAACGTATTCAGGATAAATGTTTCTTCCAAGCTGAGGTTTGCAAGCCTTCTCTGCATAAAGATAAGCTCTGTGTCATAAAAATAGCTTGTATATTTGTGCTTACTGAGTCCACCTATGAATCTATGATGAGAACACCATTGCTCAACCCACAGAGAAAAATTGAGCTGCATTTAAATTATTCCCAACTGTTCTCTCATCTTAAAACTTAGCCATTCACTTAGAAGTTAAGAAAGATTGCAACAAGCAGCTGGCAAAATAGTCCTAATGGCAGAGATGGGACATCAAGCACAACTTTGGTTGGCATTTTCAGGATTTTTAAATGCTTGGCTGCAATTGTCACTTCCATAAGGATTTCATGAAGATTAATAATGTAAGAAAAAGGCCATCTTTCAAGTAACTGAACACGAGAACTGTTAGTACTTTTTCTGGAAAAATAGGAAAAGAGAAGACATTTTTCTCCTTATATGTCCATCTCTATTTTGTTTATTTTCTTAAAGAATATGTATTCCTATACCATTATATCATGGTAATTACATATATATATATACACACACACACACACACATACATATTCAGATATATATGCATGTATATATGTATAAATATTTGGTAGGGTTATTTTGATAACAAATAATGTAGATAAATGAACTGGATTAGCAAATATACTATAGTAGTTACTCAAATATTAGCCATTATTACTGCTATATTATTATAATTTTCATAACTAATTAATACTTTAAAAGTAGAAAAGGGAGATTACCTTCTAGCATGAGAGTGTGAGGATCTTCACTGACCTGTTCCTCAGTGAAACTGGTGAAAACCATAAAAACCCAACTGTTTAAGCCTCTATCTAGAAAATGTTCCTAGGGGCAAAAAGCAAATGAAGAAACATCTATTCAAAAACGTGTACAAAAATTCAGTAAGAAAGGCAAGAATAATCTGTGGTATGTATATCAAGGCCACTTGCCCCTTGACTCAGCGAGGCAAATAAATATTCCATTCCAGACGGCTGCAGCCAAGAGCGCAGGGTTCTCACTCACCCCAGCACCCACACGGAGGGCTTGCTTCTTGGGATGAGCAGGGTGTCAGCATTTCTCATCCTGCCTTCAGCTACTGGTTTCTAAGTCCCTGGTGGGTGTGGTTAAGAGGTGGGGCCTCCCTTCTGCTCAGTCTTTTCTCTCTCTTTTCTCAGTCTTTTCTCTCACCGGCTCCACCTTGGATGTGGAACACTGAGACTGCTGGAGCCCTGACCATTCTTCTGTTGGCTCTTGAAGTGGTGGATTCATGCCAACAGATTAATATTTAAATAAGAAGACTTTGAGAAAAGCAGATTAGCCTCCATATTCTAAGTGGGCCTCATTTAATCGTTTGAAGACCTTAAGGAAAAAACAGAGCTTTCCCGAAGAGGAAGGAATTCTGCCAGCTGGATTCTGCCTTCAGATTCAAACTGCAACATCAACTGTTTTCTTGCTCTCAGCCTACCAGCCAACCCTGCCGATTTTGCACTTGCCAAGGCCCACAATTGCATAAGCTGATTCCTTAATATAAAGTTCCCTAAAATAGGATAAATTTCTTTCTTTATAATACTTTCTACTGGTTCTGTTTCTCTGGAGACCCCTGCCTGATACACAAGCTAAATTGTAGCCAGGTAGTTTACAGGAGAGTATCAGAGAATAAGTCAGCTGGCAGGAGTTCTATTGGGGTAAGAACAAAAATCAATGATCTCAGAAGTTAATAATTCAAAGGAATCAAGATTTGGTTGGATTATTTTATGGAGCAATTTATGCCCCAGGGCATTGTGGAAAACAATAGAATAATCAACAGGCAATTAGTGGAGTCTAACAATTTGTTGTGTTCAGGGAAAGAGAAGAAAAGAGTCAGGCAGTGCCACTGTCATCACCAGGGTAACTATGAGCATAACAAATCTGGAACCTTCTGAAGAATACCATCAGAGGCTGCACACTAGGGGGAGAAGGACGGAGAGGGCTTCACTAAAATAATTCAATCACTCACTAAACAAATAAATAAGCAAATATCACTAACAAGCCAAAGAGGGATTGACTAGTACCTAGAAGTTCTACAATATATTTTCTAACATTTACACTTTCAAAAAGAATTATGAGACATGCAACAACAACAACGATAACAACAACAATAAAATCCCAGGGAAGTACAACCAAGAGAGTGGAGAAAGAGAAATTGTGGATTTATGAGAAAAGAAAAAACAAACCAAGAATGATTTCAAAGTGGCCATATTAAACATGTTAACAGATTAAGCATAATTAAAGAAGAAATGTATAGTTGAGGACAATGATGCATCAAATACAGAATATCCATAAATAGGTGGAAATTATTAAGAAGTAGAAATTTTGGGGTAGAAAAGTATAATAACTAAAATTAAAAATTCACTAGAGAGGCTCAAGAGTACAACAGTAGATTTGAAATGGTAGAAGAAGGATCGAAGGGATTTGAAATAGGTTTATAAGGCAAGGTTTATGGTTTAAGGTTTATGCAAGGCAATGAATAGAAAAAAAGAATGACAAAACATAGAGAGAGATTCAGAGAAATGAGAAAAACCCTGAAAGCATGCCAACATACTTGGAACAGATGTACTAGAAGGAAAGGAAAGGGGAAAAGAACGAAAAATTATTCAAAGAAATAATAAATGAGAATTTCCCAAATTTATTGAAAAACAATAATCTACAAATCTAGGAAGCTGAGCAAACACCAAGTAGAATAAATATATAGAGATCCATAAGGAGACATATCATAGTAAAAATGCTGAAAGTGAAAAGCAAGCAGAGAATCTTGAAGGCCACAAGAGAAAAATGACTTGCAAAACTCAAAAGAAAATCTTGATAAGATTAATACCTGACTTCTCAGTAGAAACAATGGAGGCAGAAAGCAGTGGGATAACATATTTAAATTGCTCAAAGAAGAAAGCTGTCAACCAAGAATTGAAAATCCAGGAAAATTATCTTTCAAAATTGAAGGCAAAATAAAGTCTGTGATGTTTAATTTTATGTGTCAACAGGGGTTCCAAGGCATTTGGTTAACCATTATTTCTGGGTTTGTCTGTGAGGATGTTTCTGGATGAGATTAACATTTGAATAGGTAGACTGAGTAAAGCAGATTGCCCTCCCCAGCATGGGTGGAACTCATGGAAGATGATATAATCTTATATGTAGAAAACCCCAGAGGTTCTGCAAAAACAAAATGAAAAACAAAACTGCTAGAACTAATAAATGCATTCTGCAAAGTTGCAGGACACAAAGTCAACACATAAAAATCAGTTACATTTCTATACACTGATAATGAACAATTCAAAAAGCAAATTAAGAAAATAATTCTGTAGAAATAATCAGAGTCAGAAGGAATAAAATACTTAAAAATTAACTTAACCAAGGAGGTGAGGGAATTGATTGTACAACAAAAACTACAAAATATTTCTGAAAGAAATTAAAGAAGACAAAAATAAATAGAAACACTCCCATGTTCATGGATTAGATAACATAATATTATTAAAATGTCAATATTACTAGAAGCAATCTACAGATTTAGTGGTATTCCTATCAAAATTCCAATGACATGTTTTGAAGAAATAAAAAGTGTACCTAAACTGTATATGGTATCTAAAGGCCCCCTGAATAGCAAAATAATTCAGAAAAGAACAAAGATGGGATACTCACTCTTCTTTATTTTAAAACTTACTACAATGCTAGAGTAATCAAAATATTGTGTTACTGATAGAAAGACAGACATAGAAACCAATGAAACAGAATAGATTCCAGAAATAAACCCTCATGTATATGGTATAATGATTTTTCACAAGAATGCCAAGACAATTTAATGGGGGGAAATGCCATCTTTTAAACAAATGGTGCTGGGAAAACTGTATACACACATACAAAAGAATAAACTTGGATCCTTATTTAACACTATAACCAAAAGTTAACTCAAAATGGATTCATAACCCATGCATAAGACCTGAAACTACAAAACTCTCAGAAGAAAACATAAAGAAAAAACTTCATAATATTTGATTTGGCAATGATTTATTGGACATGACACAAAAGGTACAGGCAGTGAAAGAAAAAAATAGACAAATCAGGCTTCATAAACATTTTTGAAAATTTATGTATCTAAATGCAGTATCAAAAGAATACACAGGTAACCTATAGAATGGGAGAAAATATTTGCAAATCATATATCTAATAATGGATTAATACCTAGAGTATATAGACAACTCCTAAAAGTTAATAACACAAAGATACCCAAATAACCCAATTCAAAGAACTTGAATAAACATTTCTCCAAAGAAGATACACAAATGGCTAATACACACATGAAAAGATGCTCAGCATCACTAATCACTAGGGAAATGCAAATCAAAATTACAGTGAGATACCACCTCACACCCATTAGGATGGCTACTATTAAAAAAAAAAAAAAAACAAAACCCAACTGTTGGTGAGAATGTGGAGGAATTGGAACACTTATGCACTGATGGTGGGGATGTAAAATAGTATAGTTACTATGAAAAACAGTTTGCCCAATTTTTTTCTTTCAGCATATTAGGGGGGAACAAATGTTAAGGTTACATATATTGCCCATGACCCCCCAGCCCCTTAGAGTCAGAGCTTTAAGCATGGCCATCCCCCAAACGTTGCACATCTCACTCATTATGTTTGTATAAACCCATCCCCTCCTCCCCCCTTCCACCCTCCCGACACCCGATAAATGTTACTCCTATATGTCCACTTAGGTGTTGATCTGTTAATATCAATTTGCTGGTGAGTACATGTGGTGCTTGTTTTTCCATTCTTCAGATACTTCACTTAGTAGAATGGGTTCCAGCTCTATCCAGGAAAATACAAGAGGTGCTATATCATCATTGTTTCTTAAAGCTGAATAGTACTCCATGGTATACATATACCACATTTTATTAATCCATTCTTGGATTGATGGGCACTTGGGTTGTTTCCACAACTTTGCAATTGTGAATTGTGCTGCTATAAACATTTGGGTGCAGGTGTCTTTTTTGTAGAGTGTCATTTGAGCTTTTGGGTAGATGCCCAGTAGTGGAATTGTTTGATCAAATGGTAGATCTACTTGTATCACTTTGAGGTATCTCCATATTGCTTTCCACAGAGGTTGAACTAGTTTGCAGTCCCACCAGCAGTGTAGGAGTGTTCCTATCTCTCTGCATTCACGAGTTTGGCCATTTTTCAAAGAAATTAAATATAGATTACCTTATGTTTCACGAATTCCACTTCTAGGTATATAATTGAAAGATTTGAGAGCAGGATCTCAAGAAGATATTTGGATACTCGTGTTCATAGAAGCATTATTCATGATTTCTAAAGAATAGAGAGAACTTGTGTGTCCATCAACAAAGGAATTGATAAAATGTGGTGTACATGTACAATGGAATAGTGTTCAGAGGAAGGAAATTATGACATATGCTCTCACATGGATGGACTTTGAGGACCTTATCCTAAGTGAAGACAGTCAAAAAAAGACAAATAATATATGATTCCAATTATATGAGGTACCTGTAGTAGTCAATATCACAGAGCTAGAAAGTAGAATAAATCGTAGTTGCTAGGAATTGGGGGGAGGGGCAATGAAGAGTTAGAATTTGATGGCTATAGAATCTAAGTTTTGCAAGATAAAAAGATGGATGGTGGTAATGTTTGGTTGCACAACAATATTAGTGTAGTTAATACAACTTTACCATATACTTTAAAATGATCAAGATAGTAAATTTATGCTATGTTATGTGTATTTTATTACAATAATAAAAATTTGGGGAAAAAGGAAATGACTAATACATGCTACAACATGGATTAA